CCATTTCCTACTGCTCTCTACAGATAGAAGATACTGCTATCTGATTGACAACGTTGTTTTCATTTTCCCTCTGCTCTTTACAGATAGCAGATACTGCTATCTGATTGATAACGTTGTTTCCATTTCCTACTGCTCTTTACAGATAGCAGATACTGCTATCTGATTGGCAACGTTGTTTCCATTTCCTACTGCTCTTTACAGATAGCAGATACTGCTATCTGATTGACAACGTTTCCATTTCCTACTGCTCTTTACAGATAGCAGATGCGGCTATCTGATTGACAACGTTGTTTCCATTTCCTACTGCTCTTTACAGATAGCAGACACCGCTATCTGATTGACAACGTTGTTTCCATTTCCTACTGCTCTTTACAGATAGCAGATACTGCTATCTGATTGACAACGTTGTTTCCATTTCCTACTGCTCTTTACAGATAGCAGATATGGCTATCTGATTGACAACGTTGTTTCCATTTCCTACTGCTCTTTACAGATAGCAGATACTGCTATCTGATGGACATCGTTGTTTACATTTCCTACTGCTCTTTACAGATAGCAGATACCGCTATCTGATTGACAACATTGTTTCCATTTCCTACTGCTCTTTACAGATAGCAGATACTGCTATCTGATTGACAACGTTGTTTCCATTTTTTACTGCTCTTTACAGATAGCAGATACTCCTATCTGATTGACAACGTTGTTCCCATTTCCTACTGCTCTTTACAGATAGCAGATACTGCTATCTGATTGACAACGTTGTTTCCATTTCCTACTGCTCTTTACCCCCTCTAACTTCTTCTAGGGGTATATAAACATTTACGGGCTGTAGACCCGCTACCTGATGAAGAGCTGTCCCCGCTCGAAACGTCGTAATAAACTTCGAATTGGTAACTCCGACAGTACGCATCTTTGCTTTATATATATATATATATAGGTGAAGTAAGTTAAATATAACAACCATGGACCGGGAAAAGTTAATAAGTCAAAGGTACGTACTGTCGGAGTTACTAATACGAAGTTTATTGCGACGTTTCGAGCCGGGACCGCTCTTCATTATGTATATTTTTTTTTTCGGTTTTTACACGGCGGTGAGTACTGATATCTTCCGAATGAGTACGTTTAATCATACTGGCGGTTCGTGAACACTCTTCTCCTTTTGCAGCTGTATGTATATAGAAATAAAAATAGCAGATGCTACCATTTCCATGAAAAGGGGTCACAACACCCAAATTACACGTTAGACTATATCCACGATATGAAATCTCCGTGTATTACTTCAAACCACAGTCTTATAGATACGGATGAGAACAGCGCACGCGCCTCACCGCGACAAGATCATTCCTCCCCCCACCCCTCGAAATCTTCCATTTTGCTGGGGCCTCCTCTTCCCTCTCCCCCTCATACAGCATTTTTTGCTACGTGCCTGCTCTCGCCGCTGTAGTTGCTGCGGTTGTTCATTTATATAGATGACGCCGCGGACCGATTCCCGACGTCGCTGCACGCTTTGCCCCCACGCCCCGTTCAGCAGGGCCGTTGCTGCGGTGCCGGGTTGTCGCGCGTGAATGCCGCGGATGCTCTTATATAATTTTCTTAACGCGGCATTCGCGCGATGGACGTGTCCGCAGACGCATCTGCCTCATTTCAGGAAGCCGCAGAACTTGTCCTAGGCTGTGCACAATATGAGGCCTTGATACACGGAGCTATATAGGGTGACACAAGTCACCAGGCTCGATCTAAAAGGGGCCGTAAAAATCGAGGCCTGCACGTAGCAATTTAAACTTTTTGTCAAAGGTGTATTTCACATGTAGGTATTTTCTTGTAAAATTAGAAAGCGTAGCTCCCTTTCTGTAAAAAAAAAAAAAGACCGCATCTTCACGTGGTGGGGCGAAGCTCTGGTGGTTGTGATGATACTGATTTTGTTCATAGGTAGTGCTGATGGCGCTGATTTTTTAGTCCGTTTGGCGTTTTTGACGCTTTGCAGCAGCTTCTCGCGCCTGGTCTCCGGAGCAGCTTGCTGTCTGCGTAGACGCTGAGCCGCAGTATGCCGAGCTTTTCGTTCGTTTGCATCCATGTCAGAAAGAGAATTTGTAATATGGAACGTGGTTATATCCGCATTTGAGCATTTGACCGCAGCGCCCTCTCGTCTATAAACGTTGAGTCAATGCATGCAAAGTTTAACGCGAGTATATACACATTTGACCGCAGTGCCCTCTCCTGTATAGACGTTAAGCGGCTACATGCAACGTTTCATCCATGACATCCCCAGCTCTTGAGCTACACTCTAAAAAACGCCCGTGCGTCTGCTTTCCCGCTCAACATTCGGACAGCCAATCAGCGCAACTTACAGAGGCAGCTCAGCGAATGACGATGCCGAAACATATGCTTAGACCGAAAAACGCAGTCTGAGTTGTGACATTAAGCAATGCAAGCGTGACGTTTTGCATTGCTTAATGTCACAACTCAGACTGCGTTTTTTGGTCTGACTGCGTTTTTTGGTCACAACTCAGACTGCGTTTTTTGGTCACAACTCAGACCGCGTTTTTTGGTGCCGCAGTCGTGGCCGAGTGGTTAAGGCGATGGACTAGAAATCCATTGGGGTCTCCCCGCACAGGATCAAATTCTGTCGACTGCGCAAACATTTTTTCTTTTTTTTAAGAAGACAGATGGGATGGCAATTGATTTGAGCACGGACGCCGGACAAGGCTAGACCCTAAGGAGCTTCGCCCCTAAAATAGGGCCAAGAAACTTGCCAGGGTCTATACGGGCGGCGACGCAGACGACCAAGAGGGTGTGTTTGGCGTTCGTATTGATAGATGGCGCTACCTCCTTACCACGACGGCTCGCGACCGCCGTGGTTTATTTAAAAGGAACATGATCTTTTTGAAATGTGTCTTTGGTTAAAAAATAAATTCGGACAATAAAAGCAAAACTTAAGGTTAAAAAAAAAAAGCGTATGCATAACGACGGCGCTTTTGCTGCCAACGGATTTCGTCTGCGTGTCGTCTGCTTTCTTTCGCTGGTCGGCTGCACCTTCGGAAGCTGCTCCCGACGCCACATATCAATACGAACGCCAAACACACCCTGCTACTGGACTTTGTCGTCTGCGTCGCCGCCCGCCGTAGACACTGACAATTTTATTGATCTTATTTGTTACAGAAAGAGAGTTTCGCTTTGTAATTTGTTGGAATCTCAGGGTGACCTTTTTTTTCGGCGTTTGGTCACGGAAGGACACGAGTGTGTCACCCTGCAGCATTCCTTCACGGTTCGCGATGATTGATTTTCTGTGTGCTCCGCGAAAATGCAGACGCGGAAGCTCTCTTTTTACAGACTCTGAGAGCAGAAGTAATGCAGAAGTGGCTCATCATGTTAATACTTCTTGCTTCGTAATTAATTCGCCGGCTTTTTTTTAAATGCATCGTTCTGATTGGCTGCTGAGCGATAATGAGATGCACGGGATTCGCCAGGCCCTGCGTTTCTTTAAGCCGGCATTTGTCGGGCTCAGTGTTTATACACTCTAAAAAACGCCCGTGCGTGTTCTTTCCCGCACAACACTCGGAGAGCCAATCACCGCAACCTACGGAGACAGCTCAGCCAATGACGATGCCGAAACATATGTTTAGACCAAAAAACGGAGTCTGAGTTGTGACATTAAGCAATGCAAAACGTCATGCTTGCATTGCTTAATGTCCAGGGGTTTCCCCAGGATTCTAATCAAGGGGGGGTGTCCCAATGGCTCAAGGGGGGGGGGAGGCGATGCGCGGCGAGGCTAGATAAAATATAAAACTGTTTCTTTTTTAGTCCTCTAGCTAAATTACAGACGTCTATTAACCAAATTACAGACGTCTATTAACCACGTCTATTAACCCGTAATGTATGTTTCCCTTTCACTATATATACACATGAGAGGTGGTGTTTTCTACTTAATCTGAAAAAAAGAATTTTATTTTATTTTTTCCTTTTTTAGATTCAAGGGGGGGGGGGGTGTCCAGGAAAACTAGGGGGGGGGGGTCTGAACCCCCCCTAGGGGGGGGCCTAGGGAAATCCCTGTTAATGTCACAGCTCAAACTGCGTTTTTTGTTCTAAACATATGGATCGGCATCGTCATTCGCTGAGCTGCCTCCGTAAGTTGCGGTCATTGGCTCTCCGAGTGTTGTGCGGGAAAGTAGACGCACGGGCTTTTTTTTAGAGTGTAAGCCGGATAATGCTTTTTGGTGAAAATGAGGCGTGCAAGTCGTCTGCTGCTTGCTCACCTCGTGCGTTTCTTTTCCCGCCAAATGCGCCCATATGGGCTCTTGTTTCCCTCCGACGTGAATCAGTGACGGCGCGTGCCTGGCTGCCTCTCTTGCGCGTTCTCTATGTTGATCTTTGATTGGCGTGCCCCTCTTTGCGTTCCGGTGTACCAACGACGCATTTTTGAACAGTTACTTGCCGAATAGGTCCTGGCTTAGCCTCCTCTATACTCACAAAGCCTGGCAGTTCGATGATGGAGCCAAAGAGTGCCCGGCCGCAGATTTGGAGCGCGAGGATCTGGTAGCACAGAGCATTAAAGAGCCATTTCTCGGGGAACCTGGAAGTCAGCGTACAGCTTTTGCAGCGGCGAGGACCCGAAACACACTTGTTCGCTCGGGAGAAGTGTATTTCGGCGTCTCGCCGCAGCGGGGCGCCCGTCACGTGGCTCTCCTCTCATTCATTGTCTGCCGCTTTACCTTTTCAATTTCGCCTGCCGCTTGTCGTGGCGATCTGCCAGACTTCGTCAGTATATAGGAGGCTATGGTTCTGGATTTCGCCATTTGCTGGGCTCTCTCTGTTGACCGCCCTGCTTGGCTCACGGGAGTGAGGTTAAGCCTCCCAAGGATTTTGTTAGCTCGAAGACTTTTGGAATTGTACGCTTTCCCGTTGTTAGTACTCGATTACAACATCCACTGGAGCAACACAGACTCCATTCTGTACCTCAGATCCGCTAATGCGTCACTAATTTCGAGAGGAGAATTTCTCACCTTCACACATGGCAAGGTTTCGCAGACTGCCTTTACCTTGTCGGCATTAGCTTCGTCACAAAATACAAGACTGGGGCAGGCGTCTCCAAACTGATAGCCAAGTTCTCCTGGAACACAAAAGGGTGGAAAATTGCGTTAGTTGGCATTGGTTCGTGGCAGGCGCACAAAAGACGAGGACGACATAAGAGAAACACGCATGACGGACAAGCGTTCCTGAAACAAATTATTATTTTTTTTGTGTGTTACGAACGAAAAGGTCTGCAACTGTACGATATTTGCTATAATCAGTACAATACACTGAGATGTGAAATGAAGAAAACTTTATTGGGAACCGGAAGCACTCTTCATCTGGCGTCCCGAATTAAAAGCATAGAGGCATGCCGGCAATCATTTAGTTTATTTTATGAAGCACATCTAAACATCTATGGCTATCAGCAGTGATATCCAAACAATAACAATGCGATCACAGCGTCAGAATGAACACAGCTATGATGTCTTTGTTTGGAGAAATGCTTTGCCAGAGGTTTATAGCTCCAATACAAAAATCGTATTAACTCGTAAAATGTATAAAAAAAAGAGAATGTTTTGAGCACATTTATTGCAGTGATAAGAACAAAAAGGTTGAGAAAGGGGGGGGCAGTATTATTTGACAGAAAGTGCGGGTACGCTCTAAAAAAGGCCTGCTCGTCTACTTACCCGCAAAACACTCAAAGAGTCAATCTCTGCAATCTACGAAATCAGCTCAGCAAATGATGAGGCGGAACATCTGTTTAGACCTCGAAATGAAGTTTGCGCTGTGGCATTACGCAATGCAAGCATGACACTTTGCACTGCGTTATGCCACAGCGCAGACTTCATTTTTAGGGGCAAACGGATGTTCCGCCTCATCATTCGCTGAGCTGATTTCGTAGATCGCAGAGATTGGCTCTTTGACTGTTTTGAGAGTAAGTAGACGAGCAGACATTTTTTTAGAGTGTAAAGACAGACGTATGACTCGTTGAAGCTTAGTGAACTGAATGTACTTAAAAATAGTTTTGATCAAGAAATTACAGACGTTTAGAGAAATTTGAATAAGAATATAGACTTTAAGGCACAGACGGTTCGGAATGAGACTTTTCTTCTTTCTTTCCAAAACGTCTGTATATTAAACTCTATATTGTCATTCAAATTTCTCTGAACGAGCTTACTAAACAAAGGTCGCCAAACTTGTGGCTTAATGAGCCAGGTGGTTGGCGACGAAGCAGCTGCGTGCATGTTCTCTCACTCTCTTGAGCGAGGCTTATCATTCGAGTGATTTTATTTTAACTGAAAAGAGAAAAGAGAGAGAGAAAAAAGAGACAAAAATAGAACAACACGCTACTAACTTTTCGTAAGTTTTGACCTTGCGAGAATCACACTGCCGCCAGCCAGGACAGCCCCGTAGAAGGCAAACACCATGTCCGGAGTGACGTCGCAGTGCAGGCCGGCCATCTGACCCGGCTCAAAGGCCAACTTTTGGAGACCCGCTGCCACTCGGGACGAAAGCTCGAGAAGTTGTGCATAACTCCAGCGGTCGTCCGTGGTCCCGTCGATCTGCGAAGCGCCGAATGGGCTGTCACACCAACGTCCACGAGGAACGTACGCGAAGAGCGAAGAACTTCAAACCCCGTACGGCGTGCAGCGAAGAACAACGCCACTCGAGTTTCGTCCAAAAAAAATACGGCTGTACAACACTAGAGTGCACGACACGACACATCGCAAATGAGTCGACGAAATTTTTGCGTGTGACAAATGAAGTGTTACAAAAAGCGGAAAGCAGAGAAAAAAAAGACATTATTTGTGGCGTTCATTTTCACCAAAAAAAAACAACAACAACAACAACAACAACAAAAAAACATTGCAGCTGACTAGCTTCATTAGTTCTTTGATTTTAATTTATAAAGCTCACCACCGTCCTCACTAATTTTTATTTTAAGCTATTTTAAAACGTTCAAAAGGAAAGAAGCAACATGTAGCATGCTTCCTTGTATACTGGGGTTTTCAAGATCAATTTAGGAAAAAGAGCTCTGGTGCCAAGTGTCATACGCCAACCATTCATATTGTCACAAATGACAATTGTACTAATCCCTTAATCTGGAAATTTGTGCCGACAATGAAAAGGAAATACGCGTTGCTATCAGCGTAGCAGGGGGGTAGAGCGCTGGGGCGAGACCGACAGCATCCGGTGCGGGAGGCACAGTAGTCTCAAAGCTTTTACAAACATTCTGCTCCAGAAAATTCTTGCATTTCAATCAGTCTGGATTCTGCTAGCAAGCTTCTCCGTTTGAAACATGTATGGAGTAAGTGACACTGTATGGCGTTTAACTCACCTTTTGTATCTGCCACCCTATTACAAATGGGGCAGCGGAAAGAAGTTCGCTGGAACACCGACGGGAGCAAAGAAAAGCTCACCTTCGAAGTCTATCCATCAATATAACTTTAACATTCAAAACTCGGGTGGAAGTTTTGTTTAGGTTCATAATTAGAACGCTCTTGTCCGCACTTTGCTTTCCGTTGATGCTACGTTTTTGATCGTGTATGTTCTCGTTGAACCCCAGAAGAATGGCTTGATTTCATAGAAAGAGTCGTACCCGTTTTAGTTTTATATTTTTTTTTTAGTAAAAGCATACTCAATCGATCAAAAATCACCAATGCTCCGATCCCTCAAGTCACACAATTTTGTTCTCTCTTTGGAGCCGCAGGTACATCACACATTTTGCGGTGTTCGCTCAACTGGGGTGCGCTCTCGTGTCGCTGCGCTCGACTGGTCATGCGCTCTCGTGTCAAGCGCGCTACTGTCGCAGCGCCCTCCTGTCGTGCGCTCTAACGTCGGCGCTCTAGTGTCACGCGCTCTAAAGGCGCTCTCCCCAAAAAATACAGTTTGTGCTGGGACACTGAGCCCGTGAAACGCCATGCTCAGTGTCCTTGAGCGCATTGAATATGGGGTTCAATTTTGAAAGGCAACGCGCTCCACGCCATGTTTTAAGACGCTTCTTTACGCGCGAAAAGTATTTTTTTTTACAAAATGTTTTTTTTAAATTTATACGTTATTTAGGGACGATGGCGCTATATGTACTGCACACGAGAGCAACTTTAGCGGGTAAAAGGGGCGCCCCAGTATACAATAGAAAGGATACCAACCAGTGCTGTCCGGTCCTGGAATTCGTGGCAGGCAGATCGGAAATAGTGTCCGAAATGAATGTCAGGAATGTCCACATCTTGAATTTTCAGACGGACCTCTCTTTTCTCCACGACGGCGTCCATTGTACGAATGGGGAGCAGAGATGCGGAGAATGAGTTTGTACGATAAGTCTCGGGGGTCGCCCCCTGGAGGGTCGTCATATATAAAAGAAAAAAGGGGCAAAAAAACAAAGCAAAAAGAAGATAGAAACAAAACAAAAAAAGAAAAACGGAGCGATTGGCAAGGGTCACCGGACTGATAAGGCAGTCAGTCACATCCGCTCGTGACAGTTGAAAAGTTCGAAGTCGTAGTTTTACTAAATAGGTTACGGCATTGCTCTTTTAGATTGGTGTATAAGAAAAATATTTTGTAATTTTTTTTTTTAGAGCGTTCATTTTGATTTCGGGCTTGCGCCTGTATCATCCAAATAAATTCCGGGTGAAAAAAAAAAAAAAGTAAAGTGTTTTGATGCCATGATTTCAGGCAGTGTGTATGTTTCATAAGGCCGTTCATTGCACGCTGTTCTCAACCACAAGTTTGGAATAGTTCGGTAAATCCTCGCGGAAGGCGATGCGCAGTACACGCGCAAGAACAAAGCTAATGCCGGTGTTGTTTTGCCTTTCCCGAGACTCCTTTCTACGGTACACGATGACTCAATCAAAAGTGCTCCGATATAAGTAAAAGTTGCCGAGACACTTGAGAGGCTGAGCCCTTTCGCCCGATGATTGGGTTTCGTACTCTTCGAAAAAATAATCGAACATACAATAAATAGTGCCCGGAGTTATTGGCCCATTATTCGGCGATGTAAGCGGTGTATCTTGGCAACAACGGTACTTCACCTATTTAAAAATATTAACAAAAAAAATTAAATTTAGTTTATAGACATTTGCGTTTTAATTTGACCGACTGCGTTAGAACCGCTTCTGACCGCTTACGACGATAAATGGATGGATGGATGGATACGGCTGAACCCTTGTAATCGGGCAGCAACTTGCGCCACCTGGTCAATGCTTCTAAATCCAGCAATTAAATAATCCCCTATTAAATTTTGATTTAATGAAGCAGGGCAAAGAATCTCACGTCGCCGCTGAGCACAAGCATTCATCTACCATTTTCCACAACTGAAAGTTGCAATTCGTGTGACGGTGTTGCCTCTTCTCAACCTGGTGCACAGACGACGAGAGACCACAGTAGCGGCATCTATAGTGAAACCCTGGAACACTTCCAATCTGCGCATGTTTCAGACACCATCATTTCACCATGTGCCTGGAGTAATTCTGACAATGTTATAAGCTACTATGTCTCATAAATAGTGCGTATACTTAATTATGCTAATAGTGCAAACCCTTCAGTGAACTTATTCGCAGATCGGAAGTCCAGGGCTACACTCTAAAAACAAAATCCGTTCTTGAACGGTACTTCGACGCCCCCAAGAACTCTTTCAGCTTGTGAAGAACGGTTTCGCCTCAAGCACCATCGCCCTTTGGCGCACTAGAAAAAAAACTGGGCGATGAAGAACTATTTCGCATCAAAAAACGAACTTAAAAGAACCCATTATAGGTTTTTCACGAAGAACCTTATAAAGGTTGCTTAAAAGAAAATTTTAAGGTGCAAAATATGGACAAGCCGAAGAACCCCTAAGAGTTCTCTTACGACCAGATTTTGCTTTCGTGTACCTGAGTATTTGCGCGAGACAAGTGATGTCATGTCTGATTGCGCGCTTCCACCTGACCTTCTGATAAGAAGGTCAAGTGGTAGCGTGCAATCAGATATGGCAGTTCGCCGTGCCTGAGACACTTGTGTGTATCGTCCCCCTTTTTTGTCACTCTGCCCCGAGTTTTCAAAATTCTTACATATTTTTGTTTAATGTATATTTACCCACGTAACGTTGTAAAGCGTAGAGCAATTACACAAGCCGAATAACTGGCATCGTACAGATGCCCGATACAAAACTACAGAGTTGTCTGTGAGAAGCAAATAAATGTTATCTGAAGAGTTCGTGCAATAGGTCGCTTTGTATCTTTGTCTATAGATATAGATTGTGCGCGGCTCAATTCAGCGGCCGTTAGTGCCTGAAATCTTTCAGTGGTCGATAGTGTCTGAAATCGCATTTATAGCAAAACGAGTGAAGCGTTGATTCGCTGACTCGCTTACAAGTTTCTGTTGTTCACGGAATAAAGGCCGAATGTAAGACACTGGCATCACTTGTGGCTAGATTGACGAGACACCGTAGTGGATGCTTTATGGTCGACCGGTATTACCAAGCTATCTTTACTATTGCAAGTTTAGGTGGCCAATGCGCATTTCATGCAGCAAAACAGGTTGCGAAAACGGATCCGCCGTTTCACTCACTAATACGCGTTAAATACGAAAGGTTTCTCGTGTCCGCTTCGACCGTCCTTCTCTGGATATAAACTGGCACATTTGGTTGCGCCTCGAACGCGTCATGAGCATGAAATTAAACTACAATATACATATATATAGAAAAAAAGAAGGGATTATGATTTTTATTTTTACAGCTATAGCTGTCTATAGGTGTTCCCAACACTGGAAAAGACGTTCTTTGTGGATGTTGTATGTTGCAGATTTTGTAGTTGACATAGTAGGGCGCAGGGTATCCGTAGTCGATATTGCCAAATCCTCGAAAAATATCGCCCACCACCTAGAAAATCGAACCTGTGACTGCGGTGTGCGAAGCGGAATCGTTACCACCGAGCTACGCCACAGTTAGCTTTTATAGTTATATCGCCGAGCTATGCACAGCATTAAGGAGTTTTAGAATAGCGCGCGCTAAAGCTTTGCGTACGACAATAGGGAGTTTTAGAATAACGTACGCAATTTTAGCGCGCGCTAGCGCTTAATTTAGCGCTTGTATTAGCGCACGCGACGCAAGAGAGTTTTAGAATAACGTTTCTCCGTCGCAACGCAAAAGCCCTAGCAGCTCGCGCTTGCGACGCCACCAAGATACAGTCACAATTTTTATTTCACACACGAAATGCTGCAACTGGGTCCATATCACATGAGCGAACGACGTTTTAGTGAACAGCGACATTTGAGCGAATCGACGTTCTAGCGAATAACGGGGCCCGCGTTAACCCATACGCCGCTCTGCGCTTACGCCGCTTCGCGGCGACAGTCTGCGGCGGCTCATTACAGAAATGTGAACCCATTTGGCCGACCCGAAAACGCCGCTTCGCGGCGTCCGACTTTTCGCTAAAGTGTCATTCGGTGAAACGTGGGCGTTCGCTAAAACGTCATTCGATCAAGTGAGTGCCTCCCGACGCGGGCGGTTGACCGGTCGTGTCCGCTTGCGTCGCCTCGGCAAGAGAGGTCTCGTATACTGACCTTCGCACATCGTACCTTCGCCGAGAAATGTTCGCGCGTCGCAAGCATCAAGTTCCCGGTGATCGTTGCCAAACCGAGTACAATGTCGTCCCGTATTGAAAATCGCATGCACTCGCGAGGATGCCGCCGACGTCGCACTCACGACGCCGCCAAAGCAGCCGCCGTCATAATCCTGGAAGCCGCCATTTTTCTAACTCTGCTCGTCTTGACTTTAGCCAACGTCTCATCACGAATCCTCCTTGGAGAGTCGTTCTCGCTCAGCCTCCGTCGAGAACGGTCGTGCTCTTCGAGCTCTCCGTTCTCGCCGAGTTCCCTGCTCCGTAACGTGAGCCTTCAGACTAAACATCGAGAGGCCCACTCCCCGGCCGGCCGCCCAGCTGCATCTCCGGCACCGCGCTGCTTCTCCGAAGCTCCCGCCATGACTCCGCCCGTCGCTGAACCATGGACTACCGTGCGTTATTCTACAAAACCAACGAAAAGTCACCTCACCATCGTCATAAAGCTGACCGACGGGGTTTCCCTATCGGAACTCCAGTCTACCCACCTCACCGATGCCGTAACCGCCGCCGCCCACCTTACGCCATCGGAAGCGAAAGAGACGTATTTCAAAATCCGTGACGTGCAAAACGTCCTCATCGCCGACACCTACCGACCCTCGGCCCAGGAAAAGCTCCTGCAGACCACGAAACTCACCATTGCAAATCGCGACTACGCCGTTACCAGCTACCCCTCGGCCCCCACCAACTCCTGCAAGGGCGTCATCCACGGCGTCGCGTCTCTCACCGCCCCCGACGAGCTCATCGCCAACATCGAATCCAATGTCCCAGTACTCACCGCTCGCATGATGGGCAAGACCGAAACGGCACTCATCACCTTCGAACGCACATACGTGCCCTATACTATATACCAAGGGTGGCCAAGCTGCGGCTCGCGAGCCGCATGCGGCTCTTCGCGAGTTAAAGTGCGGCTTGCGGCTTCCCTCCCCTATTCCCCCCCCCCCCCCCCTCCAACTTTCCCGCCTCCCTCCCGGTCACAAGAGCACTTCCCCAAAAAGAGAATTTGAACGCGTTTTAAATCGAAAGTCAGGTTGCGGTTTGGTAGTGTTGTGCTATCGCTACCGTACGTACAGTTGGACTGCTTTTGACTCGGATAGATTGAAAGTACTGTAAAACCCTTTATTTTCGCGGCCCCTATTTTTCGCGAATTGGTCACAGATGACATAATCGCGACCACTAAATTTCGCGAATTCCAGACGCCTGCATTGAAAATCTTTAGGACCCAAATTTTTGCGCGCCCTTAAATTTCGCGAATTCTTCAATTCGTGAAATTCGCGAAAATTGAGGGCTCGCGAACATTAAGGGTTTTACAGTAGTCCAAGTTTCGTTTATTGCTCTAAACAAAATTTGCCCCCCCCCCCCCCCCCCCGCGGCACTTGGAAGTTTTGTGGTTTTGTTTGCGGCTCTTAGGCCGGGTCAGCCTGGCCACCTCTGCTATATACTACCGCCGCCTCCAATTCCGGTGCCACCCACACAAGCCAAAATCTCAACAATGCCAAAACTGCCTCCAACTCGGCCACCGCGCGGAAGTCTGCCATAAGAAAGGCAAGCTTACAGTATGCGACATCTGTTACCAGGAAAACATGACCTCGGACACCCTTCACAACTGCGTTCCTTACTGCGTCAATTGTAAAGAAGAGCACGCCTCCAAGGACCCGAACTGCCCCGCCAAAAAGCAAGCCGATGCGCAAGCCACTCTCGCTGCCTACAAACGGCGAGTACAGCAGCGT